AAAAAAAAAAAAAAAAAAAAAAGAAAGAAAGAAAGAAAGAAACACACACATCACCAAAATGCTAGCCCTCTTGAAGAAAAGGATGATTGCATGGCATCTAGACACAGAACTCTTTAAATTTCTTGGGGGGTACAATAGAATGGTAAAACAATTGGAATGACTCCACCAACCTTGAATCAAGATTCTTGTGCTTGGCATCATCATTTGTACTCTTGCACATACTGCATCACCTATTGGATGGAGAAGAATCAAATTCCCTTGCTGAATGCAATCGTGAGTTTTTACCGTCATAAAACAAAGACCACCCACCTTTTCAAAGTCTTGCACGATTTAAGGGTTCATGAAATCAGGAGGTCACCAAAAAGATTTCTACAAGAAAAGTCGCCCGATTGATCTATTTTCCACACTTGAGTGTCACTCTGTAGCCAGTCAAACGCCTTAGATGAAATGCATCAAGGCTGTTGACTCTTTCATTTAAGTTTCTCTTCAAGCTCAACAGCTAGAGATATTCATTTTTTGTCAGCTAATACATAAATTCTCGGAAAAGGATCAAGAGGTCTCCCCCAACACTTAACATAGCTCTATTGGAAGTTGAATTTTGTAATTGAAACTAACGGATTTTGTTGGCTTTCTGTGTTGCGTCAAGGAAAAGTAGATCACCCAAAAGAAGACTTGCTATGCTTGCTTGCATTAATTCTCTGCCATATAGCATCTGTTTTGTTCGGATTATAGTCTCCGAAGTGTTCTTTTTGGGACATACAATGGGCTCGTTATGTGAGCTCCGGTTTTCTATGTGATAATATTGTTTTTTGCCTCCATTTTTGAATGCTTATTTCTATATGTACCTTATATTATCAGTTGCTTTTGATTGTCATTTCTGCGGCTCAATTGAGTTTACCGGGCTCAACCAATTACTTTGTGATATTACATTATTGTCTCTGTCCTCCAACGGGGTCTAGATAAATTTTGCCTCTGAAACTGGTTGTCCAGATAATGGTGAGGCTGATGATCAGCAAAAGTACTCTGATTCTCACAATCATTCTTCATCAGTCATAAATGGACTAAATCAACCCATCATCACAACCCCAAATCAGTATGTAGCACCTCCTCAAGTTGGAGCGGGACATTCTATGGTACTATATTCGAACCTCTTTCTTTTCGTAATCCCTTTGTGAAACTTGGTTTTCAAATTCTCTGTTCAAGGACCTTTTATTTTTTTTTATTTTGGTTATTTATTTATATTTCTGAAAAAGAAACATATTTTTTATAGATTCAATAAATAAATAGTTACAAGTAGGTAGAACAAAGAAAGGAACAGGTAACCAACCTTAATTAGTGTATAAATTTCCAGGATATAATTTAAGGATATGGTTAATCATATCTATGAAACTGTCGACTCTTTTGATAACATGAAAAGTAGTCATGTATATGATATTAAGTAGTGTATAGGTAAGGACGCTAGTTCTTAGAAATTGTGTTTTTCTAAGTCATTGTTTTCTTTTGCGAGAGAAAGAATCTAGGTTTTAGTTTAACTAAATACTAAATTGTTGGCAATGATTTTATTAGAGCTTATTTGACTAATTTGGATTTTTGGGACTTCTCTGGTGAAGGCACCCCCTGCTTATCCATTTCCAGATCCTTATTACAGAAGCATCTTCACTCCCTATGACTCTCAACCATATCCTCCACAGCCCTATGGTGGGCAACCTATGGTAAGTAGTGTAGGTTGGAAGGGCATAATTACTTCATTCGAGCTTGGAAGAATGCATAACCAAGTATAGATACAACTATTCAAGAATCATGGCTTTCTTAAACCGAAAAAATGAACAACATCAACATGAAAGGAAGCTTAATTTATCAGATTGTCTTCTTAATATAACTTATGACTTGTTGATTTTGATATAATGGTTTGTTTTACCTTTTCTAGTCATTATTTGATTCCTAGTTTATTGCTCATTTTAGGTTCATCTTCAATTAATGGGAATTCAGCAAGCTGGGGTTCCTTTGCCAACAGATGCAGTTGAGGAGCCTGTTTTTGTGAATGCTAAGCAGTATCATGGCATTTTACGACGTCGACAATCCCGTGCAAAAGCTGAATCAGAAAATAAAGCTCTAAAGTCTAGGAAGGTGTGCACAAATATTACCTCATTGTTAATTTCTGGGTGTCATAATTGTGATAAGCCTCCCATTGTATATACTTGCTGATTTTGATATAATTATTTCTTTCCTTCCTTGATGCTTCATTCTTTAGTTTTTAACTGTGTAGCTTCAATATGTTGTGCAGCCCTACTTGCATGAATCTCGACATTTGCATGCATTGAGGAGAGCTAGAGGTTGTGGTGGTCGGTTTCTCAAATCAAATAAGAATGAGAACCAACAAAAAGAAGTGGCATCAGGTGATAAGTCACAGCCAAATATAAATCTGAATTCTGATAAAAGTGATCTTGCTTCTTCAGAGAACTGACGTCTGAGGCATTGTTGGAGAATGGTGAACAGCGCATGTCAACAACCGTGAGGAAATTGAGGTCTCAATACCAGCTTCAGTTGTCTGAGTATTACTTCATCCTTGATCTATACTGGCAGCATTTTAGCATATAGGTTTTGGTAGCATGTTACTTAGGGAGGATCCAGAATGTAGTAGGTAAAAGTATGCAAGTTTTATTACCATGGTAAATACTGAAGTGAGTTAGCTGATTGTTCTGTTTGAGTGGTGGTTGCATTAGGTTTGCAAATATTAGATTCACTATTTTGCAGTATTAGTTGCTATTTATGTTGCTCCCCACCTCAACAATAAGTTCAGTGGTTCAATTGAAATGATGGAACTAGTGTTGTAACATATTGGTCCTAGCAGTATTTTCTTATTTTCTTTTCTGTGTTTCTAAATGGCAGTGTTTTATCTTTTGCTGAGAAAAAAGGTAAACACTTTTCCTTGGCCATTTTAGTTGTAATGATCCCCTAGAAAATATAGTAAACCAAATTGTCTCTAAAGGCAACCACCACTTAAGTCCCCGGTTTTGAGGCTTAATATTTGAACTAGCTGCAACAGATTGGCACTGTACAGATTAAAGCTGATGTTGCTGAAACTTTACTGGGAAGCTTTTTAATGGAGCAAAGGAGATGGAGACGACGAGAGGTCAGGTCTGGGTTCTTATTGAATGTACAAAAAAAACACACATTCCTGGTGTTTGGTCTTGTTTTAGGAAGGAAAGGAGTTGATACAGTATCTCCACATCAGTCTACTAAATATCTGCAGAAAATAATTGAATCAACCTTCCATGGCTGGATATTTTGAAATTGTAAATAACGAGACGGTGGTTTCTCATAACCTCCCCAACATCCTTTGTTTATTAAACGCTGCTGGAAACTACCTGAACATCTTTTGGGACTGGCGTGCTGTCTTTGCCCATGTCCTGCTTTATTTTTCAAGCTGTATTGTATCCTATGTTAACAACTTCTATTATTCAGTTTAAGTTGCTCCTACTGTGTATGTTTCACTTGAGCTACGCATCCTTAAGAGAGCTTAGAACTTGCAATTCCCATTCTTTGATTTCACCAAGCTTGCTATCATTTCCATGAAATACTCACTGTATTATATCAATGGTTGGTTATCAATCTAGTAGTATCTTTGCTTTGTTTGACCGATCTTTAGCTGTCTGAATTAGGAAGTCTCAAAAGAGAAGAAATCTAAGCATTTATCTTTTGTTACGAGATGTATCCATTGGGCGAACTCTTTTGTTTGGATTCTACCTTTTCTGATCAACATCCATGAAGTATCACATGTTCCTGCATTGATTGGAGTAGCAGAAGAAGAAATGAGGTAAAAATGGTCTAGATTTTGAATTTCTGTTGATATTAACCTCTTGTTGAACTTTCTTTTGTCGTTTTTGAAAGGTTTTCACTATGTATGTTAAACCAAGTAAACTCTTTGCAGTATAGGTCTCAAAAGGGGGAGAAAAAGTCAGAAACTTTTCATTTTATCCTGCCCATATTCCTACTGGTTTCTGAAAAATAAACAATAGAAATGAATACATATGTGTGTGGCTTCACGTGTACAAAGCAAAACCACATTTCACAGGCTTTACTATTGAAACCTGAGCCACTTTTGTTCCGAGGGTATTGGTATCCTGTGCAGATTCTGTGGAGTCCCTATCAATGGGCCATTCCTTGGAAATCAAACACTTTCTTTTGCTCATGGTCCTCCCTGCTCAAGCCACTCTTTTAATATCTCTTCAAATTTCCACTACCTTTGTATAATTTGGATCCTCCTCCATGTATAGCTTTGAGTAGAATAAATTCACTTTTGCCCCTTTGAGTGCGTTTCATTTCATCTTGCTTCAGGATTGATTATTCTTTTTCCTTTTCTTTTTTTGTTAATGGAATTCGCAACTTAATTTATCGGATATACCCGTGAACTAGTTTCTCCCAGATTTTTAAAGTTTCTTCTAACCTTGAAATTTGAATGTCTGTTTATGTAAACAAATTGTGAGATCCTACAACAAAACAAACATTCTATATATGAGTGTGAAAACCCCTCCCTATTGGACGCATTTTAAAACTGTGAGGTTGACGGCGATACGTAACGAGCTAAAGGGGACAATGTCTGCTAGTAGCGGGCTTGAGTTGTTACAAATAATATTAGAGCTAGATATGGGGCGGTGTGTCAGCTCAAAGGGGTAGATTGTGAGATCTCACTTCGATTGAAGAGGGAAACGAAGCCTTCCTTATATGGGTTAGAAGCCTCTCCCCAATGAGGTGAGGCTAACGACAATACGTAATTCTGCTAATGGTGGGCTTGAGCTGTTACACAAATCTAACCACATATGTGAAGAAATAAATTTAGAACGACAACACTTTTGTTTTTGGCCATAAAGTTTGATCAAGATTACAAAATTCCATGACATTCAATTCATAGAACATAGAAATATTACCGATCAACTATTTAGTGAACAATCTGGATGTATACTTCTAATCTGCATATAACTCTCATTGGGTCATCTAAAAATTGGATCTTTATGGATGATTCATCTGTAATTTGATGCATCAGTGGCCACAAAATCTGTCTCTCACTTCCCACTTAACCCCTTTTAGAAGATTTAAACTGTTGGTAATCAATATATTACAAAGGCATATACTTTAGCATTACTCCAAATCACAATTGGGCTGTATTGTGTGAATATGCGATACCAAACTCATGATTAGGAGCCAAGATACAGCAGTTTGTGGCATCAGTATTCCCCCAAACCTGGGATTATCCCTCTCTACAATACCCCTTTACACCTCTTTATCATGCACACATGGAAGAGAGAGAGAGGTGTAAAATGCAAGCAAAGGCACCACATTGAGGAGAGAGAAGGTGGGTGTGTGGGGTTTTGATCTTCAAACAAAAAGGCCTTTCTTTATCTGTTGTGAATGAATCCTGCTACTTTTGGTGCCTCACAGAATGTGTTATCTTCTTCTCCACCAAAACACAACTTTTGGGACCCTCCTAGGCATGTTTGTACTTTTTTTCGAATCGTTAAATATAGATTTAAACCATTAAAAACAGTGATTTTAACTATTTCAAAATCATTAAAACTAGAGAGAAATTTGAACGATATATAACGATGGAGACAAGAAAACACCAAGTGAGTCTGTGTAGCCATTGACTCCCTCTCCCTCAGTATTAGAGAAAGAGAGAGAAAAGGATGATGAAAAACGAAACTCAGTGAAAGTATGTTTTGAGGCTTTGGATGCTTTAAAGATATCAAAACCTTTGTACTAAAAGGTCAACCCTTGCTACTGAAATCTCAAAGTCAATCACTTTTTTTTCTCTCTCTCTCTCTTGGATTCTTATGAGTAAAGGGATGGAGGTGGGAAACACTCTCATTTGTAGCCAAAAAGTGTGGTTGGTGCTAGTAGGTCTTAACCGTGCATGAAATATCAAATATACGCGTTCACCACGCGGGTTTGAAATGTTAAATCTAAGAAGGTTACGTTTGAGATCTAAGGATACAGTATAAGAAACTTGTGTGTTGAACTACCTGTTTAAGAAGTTCGAGTTTTAAAAACCTGCTCGACCCAAGTGAGTTTATGAAAATAAAATTGATTATTTGGAGAGGTTTCCACACCCTTATAAGAAAAACTTTATTCCTCTCTCCAACCGATGTAAGAACTCGTAATCCACCTCCTTTGGGGACCCAACATCCTTACTGGCACACTACCTAATGTTTGGCTCAATTAGCAATTGGGACAATGGCTGGCTATCGAAAGTTGGATCGGGCATTGTTTATATCCAGCTGCTCAATGCATTTTTACAGTTAATTAACTAATTGATTGTGATTTTTGTTTTTACAAAAAGAAAAGTGGTACCATTAATGTCTGTCACATCTACAAAATTAGTGATAATATAAGGACATGGGTGAAACTTGAAAGCTCCAAACTGCTGACTCCAAAATTTATAATGAAGATTATGTGTCCCACAAGATAATGTAAAACATTATTGATGCCCCAAACTCTCATAACAACTGTATCAATCATTACCCATTAACCCCAATATTTTCCAGCTCAAAAAACACCTTTTTAACGCTTGATTTGATTTGGGTTGTTTTCATATGATGTATAAGACCGAGATAGAATCTTTCTAAGTAAGGTCACGAAGTCATACTCCATACTCACTAATTCTTTGGAAGCTCTAGATGAACTAAGAACACACTTGTAGTGTCGAAACCTTGATCAATAGATCGAATCATCGAGATTTGGTGCATATTGTGTTTACTCTAGAGAATTGCCAGTCAGGACTATTAGTAGTGTTTGGTGACCATTTCACTCAAAGAATTGGCACCTATTTTCTTCCTCTATTGTTCCCTTACCACTTTGTGTTTTTAATTGACTTTGGGGAGTGAGACGAGCAATAATAAGTGAAGAGTCGTCCACATTCGTTAGTCTTTTCAATTCTTTGCTCAAATAAGTAACCAATAGAATAAGAGATTTGAGGCCTCCACAAAGTGAGGACTCCATCACAATCACACGGATATAGTCTTGTCATACGTAGACACAAGTAAAATTATAATAGCTCTTAGTAAATATTGTATGTTTTAGTTCGTTACATATTGTCGTCAGCCTCACGGTTTTAAAATGTGTCTACTAGGAAGATATTTTCACACCCTTATAAGAAATGTTTCGTTCCCTTCTCCTATCGACGTAGGATCTCAAACAAATTAAGTGTATGCTCGTAATTTAAACAGTGAATGAGGGAGGTGGTGGGAAAAGATTTCTCCTCCATTACGTAAAAAGGTCGGGGACGAAGAGTATATTCCCTGTTCCCACCCTATCCCCTCCCGAGCTTAAAATTTGTTGGAATGAGTAATGACATAGTCCTATTGTACAAGTTATTGTAAGCAAGAAGAAGAGCAACCAAATGTTCACATAGTCTTGAAAGTAAAAGATGAGGCCGTTAAGAAAATAGGGCAAAAATAGAATAGTGCCAAAAAAAAAAAAGTATAATAAGTAGGCAAAGGGCAAAGGTAATAATTTAGGCCACTTTGTCTGTGCTCCAAACCTCCCCTCCCTCCTTCACCTTCACCAAAGAGTCTTATATAAATACATACACACAACACATGCTGTATACATCACAGTCCTTATAGATAGATACATACACACAACACATGCTGTATACATCACAGTCCTTATAGATAGATACGTATCAGTGACTCTAATATCATACATACATTCATTCATTCATCTCGTGAACGTTTGTTGTCAAAGGGAAAGAGAAAAGGAAAGAAGATGGTTCCTTCCTTCTGAGCTCTGACTCACTTCTTTCTAGAGAGAGATAAAAGAGACGAAGATGAACAGAACCCATTGTTCATAACAAACCTTCTCTCTTCCTTCTGTGTTTGTTTATGTGACTGACACACAGGCTTTAAATTAATCCTTCTTTTCTTTTGATTTTTCACATCACTCACTGGGAAAAAAGTGGGATTTTCAAGTTTTATTTGTGCAGGGAAAAAAACCCACAGAGAGAAAGTTGGGAAAAGGAATTCGCCATTGGATGTTTGTTTTCTTCTGTTTATACTTTCTCTGCCCACTTACAAACCCACAATTTTTCAAAACAAAAAAAGAAATTTCTTTTTCGTATTTGGGTCTTTATTTTTCTTCTTCATTGCTTCTGAAGTCCTCGAAATTGGCGCTTTTGTGATAAAGACCCGAGGACCCTGTTCATGCTCTTCTTCAACCTGTGTGCTTTGAGCAACAAGCAGAGCACTAACGGATGAAGGAGAGAGGAGGCTCTCTTGGAGGAGAGAGCCTGCCCGGTAAAAAGCCTAACACCACCACCAACACCGCCAAAGAAGAAGACCAAGACGACACAAAAATCCCCTTTTGCTAGCTTCCCATTTTTCCTTTTCTTGAGGCTTTCTTTTTCGTGGGTTTTCAAATCTTTGGGTTGCCTCTTTCTTCGAGTTTGCTGCACAACATCTATGGCGCTTCTCATGCATAAAGACATGGGTTCCAGCAAATACGTACGGTATACACCCGAGCAAGTTGAGGCATTAGA